GCGCACCAACATTTTCTGCTGAGCTGATAGCCTACTTGGAGGGCTCTCGACCTGTTTATTGGGACCTGCAGCATGAAACACAACGTCTCCAGGCAAAATATGTAAGGCACATAAATAAGTACATAATATGCATGGAAGAAATATAGAGTAAATGACTCAACCTCTAAGTCTGGATAACTTTGTAAATCATGAAATACTTATATTTTATGCATATGTGTATGAATGTCATGTCATGCATAGGTACATGTGTTCATAACATCATCAAGCCTCTGAGGTCATCCCATCATATCATCTCGGCCACTGTGGGAAAATCATCAACGTATGCCAGCTGATCAGGTGGTGTCGCGTATATAACGCCGTAATCTTTTCCCATATCCCATATACATATATACACGTATATAACGCCATCTGGTCATGGTTCAATGTATATGTATAAATGAATGTGATGCATGAGAAGTACGTTATTAAAATCTCTCGGAACGTCATAAGACCATTATACCTCTGATTAATATCATGAAACAACTTTATCAACTTACGTATTTTCTGAGACCCATGAACATGCAATAGAATAATAAGACATATGAGAATTCAAGAACATAGGCATCTCTAATACTTCTATGAATAGAGTCATTTATGGAAGTTGTGCAATTATTCGTTTCGTTTGTATTGTATGGATCATGCCAAAAGGAAAAAAGGGATAGCCTTAACATACCTGTATGATCTCTTTCTTATTACATAACCAAGTTCAACGCAACTTCTTTAATCTACAACAAGTGAAATGATATTGCCGTTAACATATAATGCCGTACCATTGTATTTTGTTAGTCGCATGACTTAAGGAAAATCGGAAAATAACTCCCCTACTTATAATATATCCCAAAGACCAATAAGGGTCATCAACAACCCAACAACAACAACTATAACCAACACTAGCAACAACAACAATATAATCCAATATGAGTTTCTCTAATTATCTTAACAATAATATTGAGCGACAAGCTCGTTTCTTTTACTCATTACAAGATATAAATTAAATGAAAATCTTATTCCATATATTAGTTTACAACCTTCAGAGCATTATACTTATATGTACTATATTATTTCTAGTTTAAAATCTCCACAAACTGCCTTCCAAAACAACCCCATACGCCTAGCACCTTAATTTTTAGCGTCAATCATTTGTTTTTCATCTTTTCTTCTTCAATCAACTTAATTAACACCTAGGAAAGCTTAACAACAGAAGCCACAATATTGTCAAATTATTTCTCAAAATTTTCAGCCACCACAAACCATATTTTTAACCACAAAATAGTTCAACCAAAAAGACAACTGTATCCCATGTTCCATCAAGTGCATCTTATGGTTTTTCACTCAAACAACACAACCAACACAAGATTAACCTTAGGCATAATCAAGAAGATGTTATACATACCTTGGATAGCAGCTAAAACTCGAAACTCCATCTCAACTTAGCTCACAATAGCCCTCAATCACACTACAACATCATAGAAGTATTCTCTTGTACTCTTTAACACCTTTGATGAGGATTTGTATTGATTTCTCTTGAGTTTAGTTCTTGGATCCTTGGACAAGTTCTTGGAGAGTTTGAGAGTATTTTTTTGTAAGTAATCTCTGGATATTGATGAAATATAATGGATAAAGACAACTTATAAGCCCACCGCCTCAATTCTCTAAGCAGGTGGGTAAGCTGCATGTTTGGCAGCTTGAGTAGTGCCACTTCGGACACTTGTATCTCTCTACTCCGATATCGTATTGACAAACGGTTTGCAGATTTGGAAACTATACACATAGAAATTTAATTCCATATAAAGATTTCCATGTAACTCTCAGTATATTGGAAAAAAACTGCATCGCAACTTGGCCTATAAACCTGCCAGTTTCTCCGAAGTGCGGCAACGTGACTTGGTGACCCTAGTTTAAAAATCCATATTTCTCTAACCCGATCTCGTATGTATAAATGGTTTGGACCATTGGAAACTAGGTTCCAAGACCTTCATTTTGGTGTGATTTATGTCCCAAAATGACACCATAAAGCATACGAATTTAATTTCTCGAAACGGCTCGTTACAAGGAAAATCTTAACACGATTTTTCCGTAAGTTAAATCCAATTTTTCTAAAACTTTATATTTTATGTACAAATATCATATATAGTTATATTATGACTTTAAACTCATTAAATCATGATTAACAAGTCTCATATTCATTATACGTCACCTTAGGATGCACAGGGTGTAACACCAAACTTGTCGACTTTCGACAAAACTTATCTCCTTCAATTCGTTTAGCTTCTAAGCCTTCCAACCATCTTGGTACTTGTTATTCATGATATTAAATATTATTAATTTCCAAGATAACATGATTAACTTACTTTATAAATTTTTCAAAGCTGATTTCATTTCTGAGCTTACATCAATTGACTTATGACGTACTCTCAAGTACGGAAACATGGGGTGTAACACAATAACATAAGCATCTCTAGCATTTCTATGAATAGAGTCTTTTATGGAAGTTGTGCATTTTTTCGTTTTATTTGTATCATATGGATCATGCCAAAAGGAAATAAGGGATAGCCTTAACATACCTGGAGTAGGTAAAAATCCGTATGATATTCTTGGAAAAGGTTGCACCGTACTCCTTTAGAATCACAAAATCTTGGGTTGCTACGGTGCTAAGAAATATCGTTGGAAATTTTTTGTTTCGAGAGTAATGTCCGTTGAAGCTAAAATAATTATGGGAATTGTTCTTGTTGGATTTGAGATTAACTTGTAATTTTGGAAGAAAGCTATATGATCCCTTTGATTATCTCAAGGCCAAACTTTTAAATATGCTTACGAAAGTGTCATGTGTATGACACTTAAATGGCCACCTTTCATGCGAAGTTATGAGTCACTTAATGTATTTCAAAGGGGCCGCCACGTTTTTGCTTTAGTCTTTATCCAAAGACTTCAATTAATCCACCACTAATTATTAATTAACTAGGTAATGTCCCATTATCCAATAATTAACCAATTACCCACATAATTAAGAATTATTTCCATTTACTTAAAATACTATTCACATACCTTATACACCTTACTATCATGGTCATGTGGTACCTTGTACGACACTAGTCCATAAATACCGAGTATTTTAGCTCGGGCCGTATTTTATCCCAACATGTCAAGCTTGGACAAAAATTCAGTTTCTTTGACTTGCTTTCCCTCTCACTTTCACGGATTTACTTATCACTTATTTGAAATAGCATAATGCTTATAATCTCAAAATAATTTCATTCCCGAACTTACGTCGATTAGCTTACGACGAAACTTTAACATACGAAAATGCGGGATGTAATATCATTCCCCCCCTTTAGAACATTCATCGTCGAATGTTGACTGATACACTTATTATTCTCATAACCCATAACTCTTACGGACACTTTAGTGCTCCTCTTGCCATCTAGGCAACTGTTCTGTGAATAAGTCCAAAGGCTAGGGCATTCCTTCCTTTAGTCACCTTCCTCATACCACGACTTGTGGTCGAAATCTTTCCAATCTCGTAATTGTTGCTACCTTCTGCCATGCTGCCTGTGTGACTCTGACTTTGTAAATGTGCCTATGCGAGTCTTCTCCCCTTTTTCCTCCAGTTTTTAGCCAATCTCTAGGTCTTCACTTTGTGAACATATACATAACTATTACAAGGTGCTCCTCTGGGAACCTATAGGTATACCGAAGTTCTTCGCTTAGTACTTTGTTGAACTTGTGAATATTACTATATCTTGTTTCATAGCCCCAATTATCCATCCATATGACGTTACTGCATCAAGGTAAGTCATACTATACCATAACTCTCACTTCAATTTATCGTTACTGAGGTATGCTACCAAACTCCAGGTTACTTTTGTTGCTTATCTTATAGGTATAAATCTCAGTTCTTTAATGCTTCTTCATTACCGTTCATCTTAAGAATGATGGCATAATCTCATGTCATACTTTGTAACTTGTATCCGTCCATTATCGATCCATCTCAATGTTGATCTATAGTCTTCCATTAATAACTTGAAACTTCTTACGTAATACATTGTCACTAGGGCTTATGTTGCATCGAGGAATATTTAAAGTGCTTTTCCTGATTCACTTAGGGGCAATATTGTACTTCAATAATCGTATATTATAGCATCCCTATGTGATTTACCCTACGTGGGTATTTTAATCCTATACAATTTATGAAATCATTACTCCATCAAAGGCCCAAACGTCATCCTTCATCTATCTTAATTACACCTTCATTCTACTACCAGGGTAGAATTCCATCTCCTCTAAATGCTACTAGTCTTAGACTCTTTTGAGTTCATTCACGCAATCACTACTGAAAAATAGGCCTATGGCAATAGTAGGTAAACCGTTGCAATTGATAGGCCAACCGTTGCCATAGATGTATTGGAATAGTTCATCAACCGTGACATCCGCTCACGTGCCAATAGATCTACAGCAACGGTTTTGGCAACGGTTGACCACATCGTTGCTATAAATCAAGCTATCGCAACGGTTTTCCCTCTGTCTGAAGCATCGAGTGTTCATTTCAACTACAACGGTTGAAAACCGTTACAATATAGTTTATGCAGCAGTTGTAAACTATTACTATATTATTTACTACAATGGTTGGAAACTGTTACAATATAGTTTATTGCAACAGTTATGTAAACTATTGCAACGTTTATTTAAACTATTGTAACGGTTTCATTACGCTACCGTAACGGTTTTGTTTCTATTGGATTAGTTTCAATTGCCAATTGCATCGGTTTGTCACACTTTATGGAACGGTTTGCAAGATCTATCGGAACGATTTAGAATGTCTATGGCAACGATATTTTTGCTTATTGCAACGGTTCTATTAGGTTATTATAAGCGTTTAATTGACATTACTACCTGAAAATATTTGTAATTATAACTTGGAACTTATATAAATAAAAAGATAAAACACTTCATAATCTTTCATATCCAATAAGCTAAGAATAACGATAATAGCAAAATGTTTTAACCCAATTACATAAGTTTTACAGTTCAACACTTCAAAAGTTAAAGTTTCAAATGTTATAACAAAAGACTCCAAGAATATCGACAACAACTCAAAGTTCTTCTTAAGTAAGGTCTAGATCTTCACTATCTCCATCTTCCCTTTCTTCAGTTACTCCACCTTCTCCATCTTCCCTTTCTTCTTGCTCCACCTACAAAAAAGAATAAATAAAGTCATTAAATAAGAATGGATATAATAGAATTTTCTCTAATTGTAACTTTGTAAGTAGAGAATAAGTTGGTTGCATCTTCCCTTTCATTCTTCCAATTGTAACTTTTAACCATTTTAGTTTTGACTTTTATAAGCCAATGCCAAACATAAGGGAAAGAGCAAACGACAAAAATTGGGGGATAGGGGGTAAATGAAAAATTCTACTGCCAAAGCCAATGCTGACTTTTGGGAAGTCCATCCCAATATGCCTGTACACGAATTAGTTCTTTAACATGAGGTCTGATAAAACCTTATTTTTCCATTCAGCTACTCCAATAGAGCATGAAAACATTTTTGCAAGAACATGTGAACCGAAGGATAAAACAGATTTAAAACTAATGATCCAGACTTTCCTTTAGATCACAATGACATTTCATCAGTACTAATGACTTTCTAGCACTTCAATTGCAATACATCAATTTAAACCAACAACACATGCATAACTCTTCAAAATTATAACATAGCATTCTTTGCTCTTCCCTGCCATTGCACTCCCTCTCCCCTCCCACGACAAAATGACACCATACACAGGCTACCCGGAAAATTAGAAGAAAAACATATCAAATTTAACCAAGTTGGAGAATATTAAAACACAGTGTTCTTTCCACTTCCAGGCCATTGCACAACCAAACACTCTACCCATGCACCAAGAAAAACTAAAAAAAGATCTCAAATTTAACCACATAGGCTGAAAATTATAATAAAAGAATTTAGCCAATACCACAACAGGCTACACAGAAAAACTAAAAGCTCTCAAATTTAGCCACACTGGATAATATTAAATCAGGAAAAAAAAATGATCACTTAGCCCCACAACAAAATTGTATAGAATAATGCAATACTTTCACCAAAAAAAGAACAAGAAATTTCATCAACTAGCTCGGTTAAAAGCCTTATCAGAGAGAGCAGTGGCAGAAAAGCAACAGAAGGAGAAGAAGAAGAAGGAGGAGGAGGAAGAGAAGAAGAGTACGTACTGACCTCGATTATTACTCCCAGTAGATAGACGATTGATTAGTTGCACAACAACTTGTTGTGCAGAGGAAGCATCTCCAGGTGAACGAGCATTGAAAGCTAGCATGCTGGGATCAACCTATAAGTCTGGATTCAGACGCTTAAATTGTGAAATGATGTTAACTGCAACTTGTAGTTCCATGGCATCTTTTTGTGCATTGAACTTTTCCTGCATTCTTTGTTGCATCCTTTCTTCCATTTCCACCATTTTTTGTTGCAGCATCTCATCGGTAGAACTTGAAGAGGTTCCAATATCTCCCACTTTTCTTTTTAAGGAAGTCTTGGTAACCCCACGTCCGTACAATCTTAGGCGTCCTGGATGCTCAGGTCCCATGACGGACGCAAACATGTCAACTGATTGACTTCCATCTTCAGCTTCTTGTGTTGATTGTATTCTATCCATTTCAGCCTACAAGACCAAATTAAGTCAATTTTAGATTAGAAAGTATATAAAATTGAGTCAATAACTAATAATAGAAAAATGAAATCAACAAACTTTAAATTAATAACTCGTACAATTTTATTAAGAGTATCTGCATACGAGGCCTTGTATACTCGATCGAGCTTTCTTTTTTTTGTAGTCACAAATATGTCCTTACTTGATAGAGGTTCAGAAGTTTCTTTCTTTTTTTTCCTGGTTACATAAAAAGTGGTATAAATAGTTCAGATTATGCCTAGCAAGTTCATATTTAAAAGAATAATAAGAAAAAAATATCAAACCTCGCATATTCTAGCAAAACGTTTTTTGCCAGCAGTGTGTGGATATCTCAACTTTTTGCGATTCTCAGTGTTGGTTTCTTTCATTTTCTGCAGCAAAAAAGAAACATTGACAGTGAATACATCTACTACACAGAACAAAGCCTCTCTTCTGAAGATTATTTTGGGTAAGGCAAGCTTCCCAAGCTGCAGTCCAACCAAAACATGCAACCTTTACAGGAGCTTTGTTCCTCCAAATCACTTTCCAAGGCCAATTAGGTTCCCAGTAACTTGCATTTTTTCTTAATAAATTGTAAAAGCTTTTGACTGAAAACTTTCTGTCATTACTAGCATTCCACAATAATGAATCCTTCTTACTATGATCAATGTGGATAGAATTCAACTGAAATACATCTGCCAACCATTTAAATTCATTCTGAAATACATCTGCCAACCAGAATCTGATAAGAAATTAGCCACCACTCCATCCTTATTGTTACAGCAGTTAAATAAAACAGGAAATTTCTCTCAAACGTTCCTCACCATTCCATAAGTCACTCCAAAATTTTATCTTTCTTCCATAGATCTTTTTCCCCTCACGTTTAGCTCTTTCAATACAAATTCAGGAAGTCCTAATTATTAAGTGCAACGTTTACAGTCACAAAAGAAAAGATCAGCAAGATAATAGATTCCGGCTATAAAATCTACTATGCAAATGTAACAGATAAATGGCATCAACAAGAAAAGCTGAAGAGAAACTATATTTCTCGCCTAAGAACATGATTTCTAAATAAACAAAAATCAGACATTTTAAGCAAATCATGGAACAATATTCAGTTTTACCTTGTAGGTATTAGAGTTACAATATCTAAGAAGTTCCCTAAATTGAGAATCCGGAACATCAACCGGCCTATTCTCCATTCGAAGCTCGTCATTCTCATAGGGTTCAAAATGGTTTTTATATAACTGGTTTTTGTACTTTCTCTAAGCATTTGAAATTGATTGAAAAATCCATTTTTTGCCCTTCATGAATGTCGTATTTTCCCTACAAATTTAGAGCAGTTAGGTTGGTGTAAACAATATGAAATATCGACATACACCTATTGAATATTGCGAATTTCAAACCTTGACATATTTCCACATATCTTCTTTTATCTCAAGTTTCCTCCAATCAAACACATTAAGAGGACAAATGGTCGCATTCCTTGCCAATGTACCAAGGAAGTTACCCAACTCATTTACATCATCATCAGTAGGACCTATGAGTTGATTGTTCTCATTTAGCACAATTTGCTTGCGGTCTTTCCTACCATGAACACTTTGCATCAGAGTTTTTCCTCTTTTTCGTTTTTCGGCAGAAGGACCTACATAAATATGAAGTAAGAATAATCACCAAAAGTCATTACGTTATTGAATTTGACGATTGAAATCTATATGTTCTTGCCTTGTTCCTCGGATTGCTCGTTTGTTTCATGATTGGAAGAATCCTCAACTTGTTCTTGTACCGTTTGTGAAGTACGAGGGGTAGAATCCAGTGGTAGTTGTTGCCATTGTTTACGTACTAGTTGTGATGCAAGAGAGGTAGAGTTCAGTGGCATTTGTTTTTCTTGCTCATGTACTATTTGTGCTGGTGCAGAAGTAGAATGCAGAGGCAGCGATCCACCTGCAGAAGTAGAATGCTGCAATTGTTCACGTACTGCTTGTGATACAGAAGGTGTAGAGTTCAGTGGCATTTGTTGCACTTGCTCATGTACTGCTTGTGCTGATGTAGAAGTAGAATGCAGAGGCAGTGACCTTGGAGCTTTAATAACTCTGTTTGTTTTCAATGACGAAACCTTTAGGTTTTGCAAAGATGCAAGCGATCCAGCTGCTATGAATTTTGTTAATTTTTTATTTTTACTTGAGCGCCCTTCCTGATTCATGATCCACTTTCCTCTGTTCAAAATTAGATACACATGAGAGCCAAGAAGTATTTGAACACAAACAATAGAATCAATTGAGTAACTTCATACTACTAAGATACAAACAGTAGGTACAAGAGTCATGGTAAACCCTGTGGCTGAACAATCTTATATTTTTGAACAATCTTTAGATTCTGAAAGAAAGAAAAGAATAAAGAGCAACATCTGGAGCCATAAAGATGTACTAAACCTTCCTTTGAGTGATACAAGTTTAAAGTTTTCTCTTTAAAACAAAGAATCTCTATAGAAAATCACTTGATGACATCACAATGAAACATATATCTATGTTTCATCCACTAAGCACTAAATGTTTCATCAAAATAAGAATCATGTCAAACAAGTTGCACTATTGTTGCTCTCCTCAGGACCCATGGACACTAATGTGCACGTGCTAGTACTTTGGTGCCAACATTGAACTGCCACCTAAGCGCGGAGAAGTATCCAGCGTACGCTGTACCTAAGTTCACCTGGTATGATTGCTTGGTCTAATTTTAGAATCAGGTAAAGCACAACTATAACCACCAAGCTTACATTGCGCATAAGACTAAACACCATAGAAACACATATTTAGAATAAAAGGAGAAGCAGAAGCTTGCATATACTGCATCTCACTACTTTGACCCATCATGACAAAAATTTAGGGATTTTGTCTGCAAATTATCAGCCAAGAGAAAGTCTGGGGCAATGCGCAAATTCTGCATTGCTACCAACCAAGGCAGTGGCTGCAGAGCTACTGAAATGAAGTCACCAAAAGCAAATTTTCTTTTTCTTCAGTTTTATACAGCTCACAATTACGAAGCTTGAACCAACTACGATCTATAAACCAAGAATCTTCAAACTTGTGCTTATGTCATAATTAAACAAGAAACTCCAGACTTTGCACATATGCTTTGACCTGCCGCAATGAAACTTCGCGACTCTTCTGGAACTTCTAAAATCAGTGGGGAAATTCCAGACTGGAAGATCCAGAACTTACCCAGGAATTCCTATGAATAATAGAGTAACTGACTTCATTATATAAAATCACTGTTTACATCATCTTGGCTTTTCAAGTTCCCTAAGATGCCAAGATCTGTTAATTAATCATCCTTCTAGTCAATTTATGAGTTTAAACTAGTTTTGTCTGTTGGATACCTAGTACAACATCAAGAAAAGGCACATGAACCAAAAGGGATAATCAAAAAGAGAGTATTGAGGTTAGGAATCAGATAAAAAAGCACCTTTTTTAAAAAAAAATAGTTATCAAAGTACAAAATATTGATATTCTCTATATCAGAATTCTCTAACACCCACATAATACAGATTCTATAATGGCCCACAAAAACCTATTTCACCTTTTTAATTAAGAAGGTTCCAAGAATTCCAAAATGCTAAAGGAAAAGACAGATAGCTTGGAATTTTGTGATGATAGAATTTATGAAAACACAATGCATTGGTTGTCCCAGCAACTATTCAGTTGTTCAGCAGCTACATATAGTTGTTGGACAACTACAGTAATTGTTCGTACAGTTGTTCTATTTGCTAATAAAAGTCCAACAATTTCAAAACTTATTCCAATAACACTGAAAGTTGTTGACTAAAACAACCAAGTTAGGTTCGCTAAATGAAGCTGAAGAACATATACAAATTCATCTTAGGAAATGCATATTCTGACCCAAAACTTAACTCAAAACTGCAAATTTTCTGCATGATAACAGAGGAGAAAATAGACAGAATTCTGGTGCACTTCATACCTGTTTTATCCCCTTCAAAATTGCTTGAAATGTTGAAGGTTTAGAAGTTGCTTTCTCAGCTTCTTTATTTCCAGTATTTGATGTTAGAAGCGGTGTCAATGGGGAAGAAATTGGTGTAGCATCAGATGCGTCTGCAAGTAAGGTCCTCGTACTAGAGAGCCCCTGTCAAAAAAGTTAAAAAGAAAGGAAAAGAAAGCAAAAATTTAAACTATGAAACTGTTTAAACTAATTTTAATTTTTGATTGGGAATTTATGTACAGATGGTTTTATCAATATTTCGCTCGCAGCTTTAAAAATGTCAGAGGGTCCTCCCTAGGTACTACAATGAAAGACTAGATGAAGAGGTAAGGCAGAAGGCTTCAACCTAAGCTTAGTGACCTAAAGAGGGAATGGTTATGTAATAATAGTCTCACTACAACATTGTATGCACGCTATAAAAAAAGTGGCACCTACAGTGGCCAACGAACCGAAAGTAAAGTAAAAAATAATATTCGAGATCATATGAGTTGCACAAAAATTCCGGCATGCGCGGGAACTAAGATAAGCTAAGTATGCACGCAATAAGGGGGGCAGAAAGATCAGGAAAAGCAATAGCTTACATTTAAAGAAAGCTGAGAAGGAACGAAAGGAATTATTCGATCAATGATCCAGAGTTAGTTACGTTAAATAAGTTGATTGCACGACCATAAAGGATTATAGAACGAGTTTATATAGATCTAAAACATGATATATAATACCAAATTTATTTCGCTTGAACTAAAGAATAAGGCAAGATTTTTTGATTAAGAGCCAGAAAGTGCAAAGAGAGCAAAAGAAATCTTATTAACTTCATATTTTTAGGTCTCCGAATTGCTTCTCCTTAGTTTGTAAATGATTATGGAGAGGATTGAGGATTTTTCAAGGCATCGGAGAGAGAGATATGGGGGTATCGAAGTTTTTAGTAGTGTATCAGTGAAGAAGAAGAAGAAGATTTTTGGAGAGAGAGAGAGAGATGGGGGAGGGTATCAGTAAAGAAGAAGATGACCGAGTGTTTTACTTTGGGGGTATCGGCTAACATTGGGGGTATTGAAGTTAATGGGGAAAGTGCCAAAATAGTTTTTTTATTTAATATTTAGATTATTAATATTTGGCGGGTGTAATAAAATTCAAGAGGGAAAATTAAGAAGGACAAAAGTAACCGTTCCAATAGAAATTTTTACAATGAAAGCGTTCCCGTAGATAGTTTTATTGGGACGGTTCACATAACCATTGCTCCAGATGCATCTGTGGCAACAGTTGTTTTACAATTGCAACGGTTCTATAGTTAAAGTGTGTTGATGTCACCTAAATGGTACTGTAACGGTTGTAACCGTTACCATATAGGTTCTATAACCGTTGCTAAAATAACTGTTGTCATAGGCCCATTTCCTGGTAGTGAATACTGAGCTTTCAATAACTTAGAGAAACCATCAAATCTCTTATTTTCATGGGCTTAATCCCGACGACTTATCCATTCTTATCACCTTCTCACTCGCCCTTTCTTATCCTTATTCCTATGTTCCTCAGCTAGTCTTTCATTGTAGTACTTAGGGGGCACCCTCTGACTCTTGTAAAGCTACGAGCTTATTACATCATATACTCGACGGACCTTTTGTTGCCCTTCCTTGTCTATAATTATCCGTGGTTATTTACCTCCACGCCCTTATGCTTGTAGAGCTGCTTCTGAACTGATATTTTGACTGTCTTCCTAGTGGCATCCATACTGTACCTTTAACTATCCCAACCCCTATCTGAATAGTTCTCAAGGATCACGATGTCATATCTGCAAGACTCAATTCCCATGTTGGGGTTCACTATGTTTATCTTGCACAGTCTATTGATTTGTCTGTATCCTCTTGTCTAGCCATAACTAGGCTCTTCCTGAATTAACTACTAACTACTCGTTGGTCCATTCTCATATCAATATTCCGTGTAACATTTCTTGGGTTATTTCCTTTATCTTAATGTGCCTCTTGCACCAGATCCTTATATATCAAGTGTTCATTCGCATTTATTTATTAATAACATCTGGGCGAGAACCCTTACTGCCTCTCCCTGCCGTCGTGTTTGCACAGTATTCTGGAATCGTAGCATATCTGTAGAATTTGAATAAGTGCAATCTCATTCCTTTATCATTTTTATCGCATTTTTCCTTCACCATTCCATAGTTACTAGAACCACTTAATTTTTACTTATTGCCACATTACTCCATATTCTCCCCTTTAGGGGAGTACTAAGATTTAGTGCTACAACTATCTACATATAGTTGTTTTACCTCTTCATCTTTGGCGTCTTTTCACATTATCGATTACCCTTATTCGCGAGGATGACACTTAGTATAACTGGAAATATAGTTCCTTAGGCTTAATCATTGCTTGATTTGGGGAAGCGTCTTTCTGAATGACCTTTAAAGGTTATCCTTCTGTCGTCCATTCTATTATTGCCGGAAGGCAATCTCTGAAATTCTTATAATGCTGACTATTATCAAATTACCCAATCCCTAATTCATGTCTAGTTTACCTTGTTTACCAGCCCATACTAATTTGTATTACTTTGGGGGTCTAACTTTTCTTTTTGTTCACGAACTTGTTTCTCGAAATGAGGATATGACTTTCTGGCCTATAATCTTTTGTTGTCTCAAGGCCTGTCACTTCTCATCTTTTCCTTCACTTGACTGTAGACTTTGTAATACTGTCATTTTTTCTCTACCGTTATTATCCATATATCACATTTTAATCATAATGCACTATCTTCTCATTACTTTTCTAATATTCCTGCCTATCCCTTTCTTTTGAAAACTTTAACAAGACATTCTTTCTCTTTTAGCTCTCCTTTCTTCATTCATCGGCTCTTTAGGTTGCTCAATGTCCTTGCTTTTCTAGGGACGAGAGTCACACTAAGGTAATATTTATCCCTTCTAGGCTTCTAGTGCCTATCTTTGTAGTACTCATATGTAGCTGTACTATTTTAGAATGCACCATCTGGGTGTCTCACAAGGAGATCTATTAGCACATTTGCAATATCCTTCGGAAATGTCAACTAACGCAAACACTCCATCCACCCTTTTTGGGTCACTCTAACCCAAGCCGGATCCTGATATTCGTCCTCCCCTTATACTACCTATGTTAGCCCTCAATAGGGTATAACTGAGATAGGTGTGGCCAATTATACATATCTCTATAACTGTTGAAGGTAACTCACAATGCTTATATCTCTTTTCTTGAATTGTAGATAATGATCATCTTTACTAATTGGGTACCTCGTTCCCTCCTTCACCTTGCTTCTTTTACTTGTTGAAACTTGTATCATCTCCTGAATCTCTCATTTTTTTTCACCATATAAGTGGGTAGATATTCTTGCCTTAAGGCTCCTTATCAAGAAGCTCATACACACATAATCTACTGAAGACCTTACATTTAGTCATCATAAGCATGATGCAAAAATCGAGTTCCTCTAACTCAACTCTTTCACATCTATATCTCTTACAGACCGTCTTTCTGAATGTAGGCATCGTTGTATTACGAATAAGATAGAGTTTAGGAAATTGAGTTCTTATAACTAAGATCTACCACACAATCTAGAGTAAGAAGAAAGAGTGACTGTCCTAAATGCCATGTAGCCTCCTGTTTATAAGTATGGTGCACGACACACCCATAAAAAAGACTCTACTAGACACAGCTTGTAGATTCCCTAGGACAAAACTGCTCTGATACCATTTTTGTGAGGACCCAAACCGATGGGTCGCGACTAGCACCTGGTACCTTACTCAGCCGAGTACCAACATAATGTATCTTTTCGTATTATGCTATCATAGGTAAATGAGGTGGAAGGGCTGTCGTAGGACAGCTAGAACCAAACATGTAATACCAACGTATACATAAGACATATGGTCCTATAAAACTAAAATGATCACTTGCACACTAAATATAGGCCGACAAGGCCATACAATGTTTTACGTACATGACATATGCCTATAAGCCTCTAAGAGTACATAAACGTCATACGGCCGGGATAAGGCCCCGACATACCAATCAATACATGTCTAAATCTTACTAACCAAATAAGAAACTCCAAAGCAAATGGAGCACACCAACATCTTCCACTGAGCTGATAGCCTACTTGGAGGACTCTCAACTTGTCTATCGGGACCTACGGGCATGAAATGCAGTATCCTCAAGCAAAAGGGACGTCAGTATAAATAATGTACCGAGTTGTAAGACACATAAATAAGTACATAACAGACATGAAAGAAATATAGAGTAAATGACTCAATCTGTAAGTCTGGATAACTTTGTAAATCATGAAATAATTATAGTGTCACGCATATGCGTATGAATGTCATGTCGTACATAGGTACATGTTCCATAAAATCATCAGGCCTCTAAGGGCATCCCATCATATCACCTCGGCCACTGTGGGCAAAATCATCGACGTATACCAACTGATCAAGTGGTAGTGCATATATAACACCGCAACCTTTTCCCATATCCCACATACATATAATAATATATATACGCGTATATAACTGTAATGACTCGAGTAGTCATTTTGAGATTTTGCACTTCGCTTGCTAGTTCTCGGGCATGACTAGCCCCATGTGATGTATTATAACTTATGTAAATCGTTGGTTTTAGTTTTCAGGGTAATTAAAATAGATTTGGAAGAACAATTCTTAGTTTGAAGCTTAAAATTTGAAAGGTTTGACCAAGTTTTGACTTGTTAGTATATGATATAGGATTGGAATTCTTATGATTTGGTTAGCTTTGTTAGGTGATTTGGGACTTAGGAGCGTGATCGAAATGTGTTTTGGAGGTCCGGAGTAGATTTAGGCTTGAATTGGCGAAATTGGATTTTTGGCGTTTTCCGGTTGATAGGTGAGATTTAGATATAGGGATCAGAATGGAATTCTGGAAGTTTCAGTAGGTTCGATGTGTCATTTGGGAGGTGTTTGCAAATTTTCAGGTTATTCGGACGTGGTTTGGTAGACCTTATGATCGAAAGCGTAATTTGGAAGATTTTGAGAATCTTAAGCTTGAATCCGATGTGTTTTGGTTGATTCGATGTTGTTCGAGGTGTTTCGTAGATTGGTATTAGTTTGGATGGTGGTATGTGACTTGGTTGTGCTTGTGGTTGAGATCTCGGGGGCCTCGGGGTGATTTTTGATGGTTGGTGGAAAGTTTGGAAGTTAGAGGTAGCAGTTGAAGCTAAGTCTGCTGTTATAACCGCATCTGTGGTTGGGAGGCCGCAGGTGCGACCCCAACAGATGCGGAACACCAGTCGCAGAAGCGTAAGGAGCCAAGGAAGGCAGAAACTATAAAAGCGGTTAAGGAACCACACCTTCGATGGTGCAGGT